GTGTGAGGGATAATCATTATTAATATAAGATTAATGAAGGTACTGAGTGTGTGATGGATGATCTTAATTGTTTGTATTATAGAGTGTTGTTGACATCCAGCAAAGAGAAATCGCCAAGCTGCAAGAAACTGTCAAAAGCCTCAAAGCAGTAAGTTCATTAAACCCTAAAGCATGTACTTAATGGCTTTTAGAGTTTGCCAGCATTTTGATAAGTTTGTTAAGGTTATCTTGTAGTAGCAACAAAGAGCCTATGTCCTGTAGTTATTTTCCTGTAGGGAAACAGCTTTTACTACTACCAACACACACTAAGACAATAATTAAGGGCTTTGAGGTGTACAAAACAAAATGTATTTTGTAAATGATAATTTACAGAACTTTAACCCCCAGGTATTAAATCTTCATTGTCACAACAAAGGTCCAGCTACAGTAAATGAGTAGATGCTCTGTACCTCAGAATAGCATCGCCTGGACTCAAAGTTAATGCTTAACGATCATGAAATGGTCTTAGAAATTAAAACATCAGGACGGCTGACCCTTTGGTGACATTTTTTCCCCCCACCTCAGTGTTTCTCACAACGAAAATGCATTTAGTGTAGCAGACCTGCGCTTCCTGTTTGTCAGGAAACAGAATCTTCGAAGGCCAGCTGCGATCGGCTTCAGGCCTCCTTGAACGCCAGTGAGCAGGAGAACGGGCTCCTGCACAGCTTACTCGATCGGCAGCAAGCAGAAAAGGCCAAGCTGAGCAAGCAGGTGGAGACGCTCTGCCTCTCAGGTGAGCCTGGTGTGAGCTGCTCTTGTGGAAAGAGTACCCGGACAGGGGCTGGTTTAACATAACATACTCCGGACTTGCATTCTGCAGTTTTAGTTGTGCCTTTGCTTTGAAATCCTGCTAATTGAATTCTCGACCCATTGTCCCCTGCAGAGCTTGGGGGAAAAAGTTGAACTGCTTGGCAGGCAGTGTGATGCTCTTGCACACTGACGAGGGTGTACTTCACCCTGTGTCAGCATGCTGAGTTTCACTGCCAAGAAAATGCAGAGCTTAGCCTATTGATGGGCTTTAAGTTCAAGTTCAAGTTTATTTGTCATTGCAGTTATATACAAGTTTACAGTGGAATCAAATATCGTTCCTCCTTGTCCATGGTGCAATTACAGACAAGACACTGGCATAGACAATGTAGACAGGACTAATAATACTAATATTAATAAATAAGATCATGCAAACTAAGACAGTGTACACCAGAACAGAGGCAGTGTACACAGGATAAATACACGTTGCAATTTAACTGTTACAGAATAGCACAAAAATACATCACACAATATATACTAAACACTGGGGGAGTTTAAACGCTGTTTCTGGAATTGGAGTGGGTGCAAGTAGGTACCAGGGTGTTAAGAAGCCTAACAACCTGAACTGTTAGGCTGTTTTAAACAGTGCTTGCATATGTGTGTCAAGCAAGGTGGCTCAGAAATAGAAATGTTCCACGTTCCAATTCTCTCCCTATCTTACACAAATAAATATCAGACAGTTTAAGACGTTTTAACAAGGTCTTCTATAATATGAGTGCTGGGCCCTCTTCAGGCTGTGTTTCATTCATGCTCTTCTGGAGTAGCAATTGAATTCCTAGACTAACACCTCCACCTAGTGGGACTTTGTGCAAACTGCATGTCTGAATTGAAGTGTCATTCCATTTGAGTTTTCTTGATATGATCACTAAGTCTTTTATCTCCTTATCCACAGAAAAAGAGGGGGTTTTGGGCGCAGAATCCGGGAGGAAACCTCCCAGGAAGACCGGCAGCCCCTCGCGCCTGGGCTCCTTCGTGAAGAGTCCGGAAGAGGACCGCGACTATTTCACGCAGGAAGCGGAGGCCGTGAGGAGGAGGAAGAGGATGCTGAAGAACAGGACCCAGAGCCCGACGAGGAGTACCTCTCGGGGGCGCAGTCCCGCCAGGCTCCCGCCAGTAAAGGTAACAGGACGGAGCAGGGCCTGTTCATAACGTTCCTCTCGTCTCGGGCGTCGTGATTTTGGCAAAAGCAGCCCTTGTCGCCAAACACCTCGTGGACGAAGTGAATTCTGAGAGCAGTGCGAGGAGATTTTTTTCCCGTTTGTTTCATAACTTTGTCAGGAACTTATCAGTTACTGTTGTTTTTATAAAGTCAGTTTTTCTTATACTTTAACAGACTTTCGGGCAGTTTGGTGACCAGTACAGGGCTGTCTAGTTAACATCTTCCAGTAATGTAACAAGTAATAGGTTTATTCCATGCTTTATTCCACACCTTTATTCCACATAGGTTTATTCCACACCTGAAGAAGTTCCACGGCCGAAACGCTGTGTTTTCTTTCTTCTCTTTTCAGCATGGAATAAACCTATTACTTTTTCCTTTGCAACCTACGCATGCTGACGCAGCTACCCACCTGAACGTCTTCCAGTAATTATTCCACACATATGAAGCATTAACACCATAACATTGAATATGTGCTGATAGTTTTCCACTTCAGACTTGGGCTCTTCCAAACTGGCACTGAAAAAGAAGAAAATGATGTTGTGGCTTTTAACAATTATTTTATTTCCTGGATCTCTTTAAGTCCCTAGATTGACATAAACTGCTTTTGCTTTTGTTTGTTTTTTATGAGCAGCCTGGAGGGGCTGTTTGAGATGGCTGTCATAGCTCTACTGTGTGTAGACCGGGGAACAGCGCTTAGCAGTACAAAATTACACTGAGCGGTTTCAGTATGTGCTGTGTGTGGCCGCCCCCTACAGGGCGGCAGCTATGACTCGGAGCTGATGCGGATCCTGCGGGAGAGAGACGAACTGCAGGCCATGCTGGACAAGTATGAGCGCCACCTGTCCGAAATCCAGGCCAACATCAAGGTCCTGACAGCCGACAGGGACAAGACCAACATGTTGTACCAACAGGTCAGGGGCTGGAGCGCTTTGCCACTTGCTTTAGACCCCACTAGTATTGATTGAAAAATCAGGAGCGAAACAATCTCTCTCTAACCATATCTGGGGTAGAAGATGGGCTTTAAAAGTTTCACAGTTCCACTTGTCCATGTTTAAAAATTTACTGTATAAATCTGTATAGATCATATCTCCAAACTTAAACTTTCACATAGTGTTTACATAGCCGAAGTCTCACTGCTTATTGCACATGAATACATAAGCAAGCCAATTTATGAACAATTAAGAATGTGAGTTTCATCCTGTTAAGCAGCTGAGTTACATGACCACGTATAGGCAACAGGAGAAAGCAGAATGGGCACTCAGGTGGTGTCAAGTCAAGAGGGGTGAAGTCAAAACCTGCAAATGAATAGAGAGGATTAGAAGGAAAAGAGTCTGTCTTTGAGAGAAAGGGGAAGGTATGATCCTAGTTTCGGGATAATTTTGGTTTCAGATGTCTTTCGGCAATAAGAGTTCCAAAGTCCCTCTGTGAGGAGGCAGACGGAGAGATCAGTATGATCATGACTGTTAGAGGTGAAATGGAAAACCATGGGTTTGGAGAGATCTTTGATCCTCACAGCCCTGACATGTTCCCTAAAACGGGCTCCTTCCTGTCTCACCAATGTAAAAAGCTGGGCATTGTGATGCAGTAAATAAGGCTGCTGGAGATACTTGATGCCACCTGGGTGATTTGGAATTGTATAGAGGGCTATTTGATATGAATATAATAGCTATTTAATATTCATTCTCGTAATCCATTGCAAGTCCCACCCTAACTAGCGGTTCATTCAAAGATGCATAAAAAAAGACGCCAGCTGGCATCTCTAAATTTCGGTAGTTCTAGAGCCGGAACAGTTTCCCCAGAGTTTTTCCTCAGTCCCCGACTGTGCGCATCAGGCTCAGGAGGAGATTGCCCGGCTGCGGAGAGAGGTGATCAAGTCCCCCCGCGCACCCAGGAGCAGCCTGACGGCACAGAGCATCCTGCGGCGGGTTGAGGCCGAGCGAGACGAGACGGTGGCCGACCTGCGCCGCATGACTAACGAGAGGGACAGCCTGAGGGAGAGGCTCAAGGTACCACTTCCAGGCCTTGGCTCAGTACACAAGCAAAGGAAGAGTGAAGGGGGCAACGGTGCTGGAGAATATATATTCTCTGTATTTACTCAGCTGATGCTTTTAGCTAAAGCCAGTTATGTGTGCACACATTAACACCATTAACACAGCAGGGTGCAGTACTTAGCTTAGGGGTACAACAGCAGCATCTCTGCTGTGATTTGAACCCACAGCTTTCCAGTTACAAGTGCAGAGCCCTGACCACCAATGTGGGGTTTGCAGTGAAGCCGGCGTCACACTACATGACTCGACACGACTTCTAGTCGGAGAGCAGGTCAAATTTAACGACTGCAGTCGCTGAATCTCGCTGCCTTTTCTCTCCTAGAGGGTGTCAAATTACACGATTCCCTCACAACAATTCATCTCCGTTCCAAATCTCGTATTGTGCCGCAAAAGTACCGCGAGGCCCGCCTCGTTTTGGCAGCCACTTAAGGTGGCGCACAAGAGGAGCACGGCATGAAAGTAAAGAAACGACATGGAGAACAAGCACGTAAACATCTTGAAAAATGTAACGGAGGCATTGCTTTTCACAAATAAACATCTTCAAAAATACAATTGTTCTTTATAAATATAGAACAAATTTACAAAAATAAAACACTCTTAAAAATATATAACACCTTTAAAACAAATGTCGTAATCAAATTAGTATTGCGCTATAACATGTAATATAATGGGCACATTATCTCACAAGTACACATCTGGGTCACTGCCCACCCCTACGACTTGCGACTCGCTACAAGAAAATCAAACCAGTTTGATTTTATCAAAGTGAGTTGCAGAGAGTCGTAGGGGCTCTTAAGAGCGCTAGGACCAAGTCGCTGGGGGTGTCACACAGATGGTAACGGGCGCGCTGTGATTTTCTTACGATTCCGTCAATGAAGGCTTCGACTGAAAATCCCAGGAAAAGTCGTCTAGTGTGACGCTGGCATGAGAGAGAACTCGGATGAGAGATGCGCGCAAGGAGCACAAACAATGCAGGTCACAGCATTGTGGAAAACGAGGATCGTAGCAAATTAAATTCCATGCTGGGACAATTCATGGAACACAGAGACAAAATCAACATTACCAGAACCTAGGGATAGATGTGGTTGCTACTTACTGAAACTGGAGCTAAAATTTGTAGATTGTGTTGGGAAAATAATTTTCTTAGATTTTACAGAAGAATAACAAAACATATTGACATCTTCTGTGCTCCTATTAATGAAATACTGTAATACAGGGTGAAAGAGAGGCACACGCAGATGTATATCTAAAATAGTCATTATAATTGCAGTTCTCTGTTTAGCTTACATGGTAAACCACAGACATGAGGGTGATGGAAAGTGTCACACAAACACAAACTTGAATCCTGGATGGTTGTGGTGACATCAGACAATGGTGGGGTTCGGGAGTCTCGCTCCTCATGTTCCCAGTTTTCCCGCTGTTTGTGCAGATATCCCAGGAGTCAGCCATTAACGAGAGGGCTCACCTGGAGCAGAGGGTGGAGGACCTGCAGTCAGCCTTCCTCATAGTAAGCATGCCCAGACCCTTCACCTCTGAAACTGTCACAGTGCAGGGGCCGCTGGGAAGTGGGCTGACAAGCCCAGCGAAAGTCAAGGAACTAGCAGTGGAGGATGTGCTGCAGGCATTTTTCACGTTACGTGTGAATTAACATCCTGATGGAAGAGTTATGTCAGGCTAGAGTGGCCATGAAAATAAAGCACTTATGCATCTTGCACACAAGAGCCATGCATTGCAAATCTCCATTCCCTGCCTCGTGGTTTTCTCATGCGATTTCTAATGTTTCTAATGTTGCTTGTGCATGGTGTCGCATTATCGAGCACTCTTTTATATAATTGAATAGTCATTTGCATATCTTCAGAACTCTTTTTCACAAAGCATCACCACTGATAAACGCTAGTGTAGCTCTGAGCATCACTCTAGTTGTCACTCCAAAATCGACAGTTCTGGGGTCTTTTAGCTATGAAACCGCTTGAAACACAGTTCTCCCTGGCAATATGTGCATATGTGTAAATCATGTCAAACTGAGTTCTGGCATGCAAATCTTTTAAAACAGACAAGCCCTTCAGTGGCATGTAAATTCCAGGGAGGAAGAGGAAACAGTTAATTTTACACGTGCAAGGAAAGTGCTCAGGTTGATGTTACTCATAGCATTACAGATTTTCATTTCTGGCCCTGAAGAATTTTTCAGATTCCCTAAGAAAGATCAGCACAACTGTGCTGACATAAAGACCGAAAAGTAAAACATCAATACAGAAGCGTTAAAAGCTAGAGTGAAAACTTTCACACACTGTTATTTATTGTTATATCTTCTTTATTATATCTTCTTCGTGTTCCTTCCCCCACGGAGCTCCTCCATATCCAGTCTCTTCCTCTTTCCAGACCCCAGCCCTTCCAGCCCTGAGATTATCTGAACACTTGGCAAAGCAGACCTGTATGTGTTGTGTGTGTGCCAAGAGCCACAGTACTGGTGCTTACCCACCTCTGTCCCTGTCGCAGCTGGAGAAGGAGCGCGGGGAGCAGAAGACGAGGCAGGCCCTGATGAAGGACACCATGCTGTCTCTGGAAGAGGAGGTCAGGGCCCTGAGCCGCAGGTTAGATACCACAGAGGAGGAGCTGACCAGGACCAAGACAGAGTGCAGCATGCTGAGGTATGGTGGTACACATGCGTGCACACACCCATAAAC